GCCACTGCACTCCAGTCTGGGCGACAGAGTGAGACTCCAACTCAAATAAAAAAAAAGATGCCAAAGCCCTAAGAGGGCCAAGACCCATTTAACCCATCAGCTGAGCCTAGGGCCTAGACCAGAGAGAAACTCTGCCCTTCCAAAAGTTCTATATCCACCCAAGGTTCTTGTACCCCAGTCTTGTGAGCCATGGCCTCAGCAAACACAGTCAAGGAAAAGGAGCCCATGACCATACATACCCTAGCACACTCACACCACACACGCAATCCCAATCATTCAACAATCACTTATTGAGTGCCCGTTGTACACCAACAGTAAAGAAGCCACATGAAAACTCCTACTACCATGGCCAAGTGCAGTGGCTTACACATGTAATCTCATTGCTTTGGGAGGCAGAGTAAGGAGGATCACCTGAGCCCAGGAGTTTGGATCACCCTAGGCAACACAAAAAGATACCATATCTATGACAACAACAACCATTAGCCTGGTGTGGTGACACACCCTGTGGTCCCAGATACTTGGAAGGCTGAGGTGGGTAGATCACTTGAGCCCAGAAATTCAAGGTTACAGTGAGCTATTATCACACCACTTCACTCCTTGTTCAGAGCAAGACATCTCTAGAAAGAGAAAGAAAATCATTGCCCTTGTGGAGCCGACAACATCAGAGGTCTGGGTTGTTAACCCATTTTACACATGTGAAACCAAGACTCAGTGAGGTGACAGCTTGCCCACAGTGAGAGGAAGCTGCAGAGCCAGGATTAGAATCTTGACATCTGCCAAGGTTCAGAAGCTCCACTGACAGCCCCAAACTCTGGGCTCAGCCTGGGGGACTAAGCCAAAGTGCCATGAATGCCATCCCTGCCCAGAAGGGGCAGCACGAAATCGGTCTCCTCTGCTGTCAGATAGGAGGGCCTCTGTCCCTCATCATCGCTCCATCTGCGGGCTGGGACAGAGCAGGAAAGTAGGCCCTTCTGATTCCTGCAGGGCCAGCCTCAGCAGCCTCCTGCTCCTCTTCCAACGGGCCCCACTTACTCAGGACTCACCATACCCTTTGCAACACGTTCTTGTCCCAGCTAACCGTGGGGCTCATTTCCTGCTTCCATCAGATCTTTATATGCAAATGCCCCCTCCTCAGAAGCCCTTCCCCGTCACCCTACCAATGATGGCTCCCACACCCTTGCCTGCCTACCCTTCTCATGTTGCTTGGCTTTCCTCCATGGCATGTACCACAACTGAACATACTTGCCTACCTGAGGGCTCTCTGCTCTCCTCACCAGGGCATAAGAGAACAACATGAGCGCAGGGGTGTTTGTCTATCTGACTCTCTGCTGGATGCCCAGTACCGAGAGCCGTGCCCTAGGAGCTGCTCAATAAATGTTTGTTGAATGAATGGAAGAGCACACAGAGCAGCTACCCCTAGGCCTGGTACCCTTCCTCCTGGAAAGGCCCACAGAAGCCAGCCTGGGACAGAGCCAACTCTCAGCACGTGCCTCTTCCCATCTGCCTCCCAGTGTCACACAGCAGCAGTCTGGGGTCAGGCAGCCCTAGGCTCCAAGGATCTAGTCTTTTGGTCTCTTCCTTGTCCATGGCTTCACTCAGGGCCTCAGCTTCCCACCAGTACAACTGGATCAGGTCACACCCTGGCTCACGACATCCTGGGGCTTGCTGCTCCCTGGAGAGCCATAGTCAAGGTCCTTTCTGCAGCCTGCAGGCCTGGCACACGAGACCCCGTGCCGCTCCTGAGCCTCAACTCTGCCACTCGCCCTCGCTCGTTCTGCTCCAGCCACGCTGTTCCCAGAAAACACCAGGAACACCCCCACCTCAGAGCCTTTGTCCGTGCTGTTCCTCTTCCTGGGACACCCTTGCCCAGCTACCTGTATGGCTGCCTCACCTCCTCCAGACCTCTGTTCACTGTTGCCTCCTCCAAGTAGCCTCCCAACCGCCCACCTCTCCCAGTTCCTTGCCCCTCATAGTTGCAACTTTTCACAACAGCACTTACTACTACCTGACATGATCTGTCTACTTATCCAATATTTTTCTCCACTGCCCACTAGAATGGAAACTCCAGGACGGCACCACAGTGTCCCAGGGTCTGGGATGACCTGACACACCACACATGGTCAAAGAATATTTGCTGAATGAATGAATGCTGAATGTTGTCTTGCTGCGTTACTTCAGTTAAGTGACTTCCCCTCCAGAGTCTCAGTTTTTCCATCTGTACAACAGGGCTATTAATGAGATCACTAATGAAAAGGCCGAGCACAAGGCCTGGCCTGCAGCTTCATTCAGGGTGTCCACAGCCCCGCTGCCCCAGCTACGGCTGAAGGAGGCCATGTAAGTAGCTTCTGGCCCGGAGGCTGCAGAATGCTGGCTCCCCAGGCTGGTAAACACCCTGCACCTCTGCCTCTCAGGGCACTAGCTGCCAGGACAGCTGGGGGAGCGGGGATGATGATGAAGGGGGAGGACCAATCTGGTGGGCCAAAGCAGCCCCTTACCACGCTTGTGGAGCCAGCCTTCTTTGATGACAGACACCTCGTTCATGGTGGCAGCGTGACACGCTGTCACCTAATTCGGGACAGCTCAGGGCAGCAGGACATGCAGGAGGTGCCGTAGACAGAGCACAGTCTGCAAAACAAGAGAAGCTGGTCAGGGGTGGGGGTACTCCATACTAGCCCCTTCCTAAAGACACCCAGGTTCTGAGGCCCTCTGGCTCCTGTGTCCGCTCAGCACAGGGTGGAGGCAGTGAGGGTGGGGAGAGTCCTGCCCTCAGGGGCTCAGTCTGTTGGGGAGAGGTGCAACCATGTCCCCAGGGACCCCAATCTGAGGCAAGCAGAGCTCCCTGGCCTGAGCACAGGCTAGGCTCCACATGTAGGATACCCTTGCTGAAAGGAGGCGGCCCCATCACCCATGTTCACTCTTGACTGGGCGAGCATTGGAGTAGCTGCACCCCACCCCCTGCGTCACTCCCATGGCCTAATGCTGAGGTAACCCAGGATGAATCAGACAGCCCTGGGCACCTGAGGGAGTACTCCAAGCCACCAGCATATGCCTGCTCCCGCCCCCACCAGGACACATTCTCTCTCTCACCCCCTCTGTTCTAAACCAGGGAGCCACCAACCTGCCGCCTTCAACAGGTAGACTAAGTGAACGCCTCCCTGCCTCCCGTCCCACATCACTCCCTCACCTCAGCTGCCTCCTGGCCCCCACCGGATGACCGAGGAAAGACAGGCCTCATACACTCCAGGACCCCGAACAAGAAAACAACCTACTGCGCATGCACTTGTCTGGGGCCTAGAAGCCAGTCCTAGGGGCTCGCCCAAGGCCCTGGTCCCTTCCCCAAGACCTCCACTTCTATCCCCAGGGACCAGCCGCCGACAGACTGACGGACGCCGAGGCCATGGCTCCGTCTCAGGTTCCCAGAGCAGAGGGGAGGAGGGTGCAAGGCAGTCGCCAGCTGGGCCCTACCTGGAGTCTGGAGCCTGGGGACTGGATGAGGGCCATGGAGCCCAAGGCGCCTTTTGCCTTTCCCGGCTCGGGGTTATTTGCGGACAGCAGGTCAGGAGCTATGGTGGCCCCCAGAGAAGTGGCAGCTGGCTCTAGGGACACCCTGGGCATCAGCTTTCTCTCGTGCCCCAGGGGAGCTGGTGGGCCGGACACACTACTGCCTGGCATGTGACAGTGGCAGGCTGCCCAGACCCCGGGCAGAAGGAAGGGAGGTAAGTGGGAGGAAGCAGGAGGAGAGACAAGATGGGGAGTGACGGGGAAGTAAACAGGAGGGTGAGAAATCACATTCAGGACTCCAAGCTGCAAGGCAATGATGCGAGGACAGGAGCGGCAACAAGGGGCTCCCCTGCCAGCAGACATGATGGGCACCCACACCCCAAACACACAGGCCTGCCAGACCCTCGACCCTCAGCATCGCACCAATCTGATGTAACTGCCTCTCCCCAGCCTATAGGGTCCTTTCCCACTCTCCTCTGGGCTCCAACCCTCCACGCTCGCTCCTTCCTACCTGTCCCCCGTTCAGCAGCTAGAGGGACCCTCAAATCTGTCCCTTTCTCCTGCTCAAAACCCTTCCATGGCTCCCCATGATCCCCAGCAAAAAAACCAGTCCTAGCTTGGCATCCAAGGCCCTTCAGAAACCGGTCTCTGCTGCCCTCCACTCCACAGGCCTCCTGCTCACTCATCCCCTCACACAGTCACCCAGCCCTTGGTCCTCACAGTCCACCCCCAGGCTCCTGAACACCTCTCCCACGGCCTCTCCTCTTGCCTGGCCTCTGCTCTCAGCCCCTATGCTCCAGCTAAGTCCGTCCCTGTCCCTCCCTGCCCAAAACCTTCTGTGGCTCCTCAGAGCGCTGGGAACACAGAACAAAGTCCTCTCCACTACTGAGGAAGCCATGTATGGCAGGCACCTAGAAAGCCCTCTGTAAAGGCTAGCAACCATGACATTAATTATAGCACCTCTCCAGCCCCTCCTCCACACCCCGCTCCCTGTGTCACGCTTCTGTCACTCAGACCCTTCCCTCTGGCCTCTATCCCCTGTACCTTCTGTGCAATCTTCCTCCTCCTGGAGTTCTTAGCTGAACCAGTGCCTCCTCCAGGAAGCCTTCCTAACCTCAGAGGCTGCACTGTTGGCTCTCCGTACACTCCCCAGGGCAGCCCTCCCACAACTATAAATGCTAATTCAGTGGACCAGCACAGCATCTGACATCTACTGAGGATACAATGAATAAAAGCAAGTGTCCCTAACAAACTCCCACCCCAGGAACAGACACAGTCATTGAAACTCCTGCAGACCAGTCATGCCACCAATCCTTTCTAGGTACACCCTAAGCTCCAGATGGTATCAATGACAGAACAGCACTAAGGCACAGCTCCTGCCTTCATGAAGCTCGCAGCCTAGACAGGGAGGCAGAACAAGGCACAGATATGCAGAGACAATGTCATGAGCTAGGCAGACAGAAGAAACTAGAGAAAAGAACAGCAGGGGATAGGATGCTGTGTTAGTCGTAGGGTGTGGGGGACATGTGAGCAGACATCTGCATTAATTGAGGAGTGAGTTGTGCAGATCCACACGGAAAAGCATTTCTGGCAGGGAAATAGAGAGTGCAAAGATCCTGAGGCAGGAAGGAGCTTGGTGTGTGGAGTGGGAAGCCAGGGGAGAAGTGGGCAGAGGAGAACACCCAGGGCCTTTCGGGCTGTGGTTGGGAGTCAGAGTAGCCTTCCCCAACATGGGCCAACACCATACCTTCCCAAGACGTGAGCTCAGTTCGGAATACTCCCCAAAGGCCTGGGATGGAGAACTCAAAGTTGAAAGGAAGAGCAGACGTGGAAAAAAACGATTAACGCCAGATCCAGTCTCAGCTCTCCCCTGCCCTCACTGCCCAGGGACACTCCCTTTCAGAACCTCCATGATCTAGGGGCATTAGTGGGCAAGGAGCTGTGGAGAGAGGGCTCAGCCTACCGCCTGCACCCAGGAGACACCCAAACACACATGGCTGCCATTATCAAAGACAGAGAAGCAGAGACAGCCAGGTGTGGCCGAGAGTGGGTTCCTGAGTACAAGCACCACTGCCAGCTGGGTGGCCTTGGGCAGGGTGCCGGGGGCTCCTGTGCAGTCTCTCCTGAACATGCCAAACCCCCCACAGGAGAGTCCATGCCCGTGCCCAGGTGAGGACAGCAGCTCAGAGAAGGGAAGCCATTTACCTTGGGTCTCCCAGTCGAGAAGCAGTGGAGGCCCTAGCCACTGCTGGAAACTACAGAGCCACTTTTTACATTCTCACTTCAGGGACTAAGAAGTCAGCAGCAGCCTGGGCGCGAGCAAGGGGAGGAACTGAAGATCCCCTGCGACCCGCCTGGATTCTGCCCTGTCCTCCCACTGAGGGTGGTGCCGCGGCTGAGGTGTCTGTGACGCAGTCCTGTGGTGATGAAACACCAGGCACTGCAGCCAAGAGGATGGCCTGCTCACTGAGGAACAGCCGACAGAGGACACCCGGGCAGGAAGACAGAGATCTGCCCCTGTAACCCAGTCACCAAGGCTGCCTTTTGGTAGCACGCCCCACCGTGGGGAGTCCCTGCATGGCCCCATTCCCACTCACTGCATCCCAAGGGGTCCAGGACTGAGTCTCTGAAGGGCCTGCAACTGTTGACTAGAGGCGAGCCACCTGGGAAGCAAAGTGAAAAGAGCAAGGGCACCTCACAGGAGAGAAGACCCAAACAACCAAGGAGCACACACTGAAACCACCAATCTGGGATGGCTAAAATTTTAAAAACTGCTAACACCAAGTGTTGACAAGGATATAGAGGAACTGGGACTCTTATTGACTACTGGTGGGAGTACAAAATGGTTCAACCACTGTAGGAAACAGTTTGATAATAAGAATTAAAGCTCAATATATGCCTATCCCATAACCCAGCAATTCCACAGTTCTCTACAGAAATTAGTATATTTGGGGGTTCTTTTTCCTGGTTTTGAATCAGGATCTCACTGTTGCCCAGGGTGGAGTGCAGTGGCACAATAACGGCTCACCACAGCCTTGACCAGCTGTGCTCAGGCGACCCTTCTACCTCGGATTCTCAAGTAGCTGGGATACAGGTGTGCGCCACCATACCCAGCTCACTTTTAAGGTTTTGGTAGAGATGATGTCTCGCTGTGTTGCTTGAACTTTTGGGCTCAAGCAATCCTCTCGTCTCCACCTCCCCAAGTGCTAGGATTATAGGCATGAGCCACCGCACCCGGCCATAAAATTAAGTTTATTTGTTTACCAAAAGACGGGCATGTTCTAAAATGTTCATCACAGTAATATTCACAGCAACCCTGAAACTGGTAATAGACAAGGAGTCCACCCACCAAAGAATGGATAAACAAACTGGTACAGCAGTACACTATTCAGCAATGAAAAGGACTGAACTGCTGATACAACAGGGATGAAGAGTAAGAACGTGATACTGAGTGAAAGAAGCCAGATGCAAAGCAACACATCAGGGACGACTCCAGTCACAGCAAGTTCAAACCAGGCAAAACAACACAATTCGTCTAGGGATGCCTTTCTCTCTTGTAAAATGAGGTAGAAGATCAAGGAAAACAGGCCGGGCTCAGTGGCTCAGCCTGTAATCCCAGCACTTTGGGAGGCCAAGGTGAGTGGATTGCCTGAGCCCATAGGTTCAAGACCAGCCTAGGCAACTTCACGAGACCTCGTCTCTAGAATAAATCAAAAAATTAGCTGGGCATTGAAGTGTGTGCCTGTAGTTCCAGTGACTTGGAAGGCTGAGGCGGAAGGATCTCTGGAGCCCAGCAAGTCGACACTGAGGTAGCCATGAATATGCCACTGCACTCCAGCCTGGGCAAGGGAGTGAGACTCGAACTCAGAAAAAAAGAAAAGAAAGAAAGAAAACAAAGGAAAACAAATATCCCAAAGGCAAGAGCGGGGTCATACTTAGGAGGAACAGAGACTAGAGAGGATTCCTGGGAGTTAAAATGTTCTTGTGTGGTTACACAGGGCTTTGCTTTACAGTCATGTTATACTGTAAATATAAAATGTGTTAAAGTCTTTTTCTGTATTCTATGACAAAAGAAGTAACTATACAAAAGAACCCAGGGCTTGGAAGTCCAGATGACATGAAGG